CCCCCACCACCATTTTTGCCGTCACCGCCACTACTACCACCACCGCCTCCATCCCACCACCACTGTAATGTTAAATGAACCAAATAGGCGGATTCTAATTCTTTTGACAAATTTTCCATTTCAATTTCTACCAACAAAACACATAGTCAAATCTGATCAAATTACATTCCAATTCCTTTGACAGATTCCAATTTTGACAAATTCCATTCCGTGAACCTAACGCCATCTAAGAAATTGAGCATTTTATCTACTCATCCTTCTTTTTTGTGTTTTTACTTGGAACAAATTTCATCCAACTGACACTCGACTCTGATGGCTTTTTGTCTGACAGATATATAGGAGAGCCACTATGGCTTACCAAGCATTGTCAACCAAGTTAGGTGAAGAATCCTTTTTCTCTGACAACAGGCAAGTCCCGACATGCTACATATTCTTGTTTCAATTTAATCACTCAACCAATAGCAAGTCCTCAACATTGTTGACCGCTAGCTAATGGGTTGACCTTGACTGATATGCCTTCTTACATAATGCAGGCCAACTAGTTTGGATGCTTTTTTTCTTGGACATGCACTTATTACTCTATATGCATTACCGGTCAGTATCATCTTATATTAGCTATATTTTATCATATTCTTGTTTGTTTTTCATGTTGACTCTGCTTCATTAGTACAAATATTCGTGTGCATGAGAATTGTAGACGAATAAAATTCTGTTTTCCAGACCGGTTATCTTAAATGAAACTCTACAATGGTATTAGAGGCGGGAACTGGACTAGTGTGCCAGCGAGGACGATTGGGGGGTGGATTGTGACATACCACATTGGTTGGGGAGGGAAACAAAGGTTGTGTTATAAGGGACAGAATGGGAAAGTATGCATTTATTTTTCAAAAGTGGAAACTTATTTTGGGATTAAAGAAGATAGAAATGTGGACACTTCTTTTCGGATGGAGGGAGTATTTTGTAGCAAAAATTTGATATTTTATTCAAGTTCAAATTTTTTTTAATCTAAAATCATCAAGCAACATTTAAAGAGAGTTTGAACCCATTTTAAGCAATTTGGTAGATATATACATGGGGCAGGTTTCGTTAGGAACCTAAAATTGATTAGGAACTTGGGAACACCCACTGCACGACACGTGGTATATTCATCATGAATGTGTGATTCATGATGAATATTCATCTTGAAGAGGGACATGTGGCAACTGTGGGCAGTTCCTGGGTTTAATCAATTTGGGTTCCTAATGGAACTTTCCTCATATATATATATATATATGGATATATACATCCACAACTACACACATATAACAAATTTTGACCAACAAAACTTATACTTTTACTCTGATTGGTATTTATATAAGTTTGGGGTTTTTTATCTTTAGTACTCCCAATTATGATACTCCGAGTCCTCCATTTGTTCACTCTTTAATAATTCATGTTCACTATGCATTTTTAAACTTTGTTGTTATTTACTCTTAGGAAACATCAGTGCTTCGTGGCAAACTCTTGGAACAAGCTAATCTTGTGAAGTATGCTGATAAACTTAAAGCCGAGTTTTTAGATGCTGGATCATCATCTCCAGATCCATCATCGTCATCTGTGCCAAGACGGGGACCATCAAACTGGGGTAAGTTTCGAGTTCCAGTAACAAATTGTTACTATTTTGTTTTCTTGGCTGCGTGCTTACAATTTAAAGAACCACAATGGGTAGGGTTTAGGCAAGATTCTAAGAGTTAGGGCCAGACTACAACGTTTTTCAATACTCACTATCTTTTGCGAGGCTTGAACACTTGACCTCCGGAGAGGTTGGACTATTCTGGTAACCCGTGTCCTGCTAGGCCAAAAACCTTATATTTTGGCATGAATTATTATTTTGTAGTATATATTATTTATATATAGCAAAACTCACATTTGGTGAGGTTTGAATCCTTGACCACTAGGGAGGTTGGACTGTACCAGTAACCTAGGTCTCGCTGGGACAAAAACCTTATAGTGGCACAATTATTAATTTTTGGAACTCACTTTTGGTGAGACTTGAACCCTTGACCTCCAGGGAGGTTGGACTGTATCAGTAACCCGTGTCCCACCGGACAAAAAACCTTATAGTGGCATTAATTTTTATATTGTAGCATTCTAAAATCGACCGTTTTTAACCTAGGTTCCAAACCCAAGGGCCAACCGAAGAGGGAGAGGACACAAGAAGAGAAAAGTTTCAGACGAAAGGCGAAATATTTCTTGGTAACGCAAATGGTGGCGGTTCTGGTTTTTCTTAGTCTTCTTGGTGGATCCGATGATACTGAAGTGGATGCCGATGGTGATGATGGCTTCGATTATGATGGTTAAACGAAAATGATCATCTTCCGCTATCGATCATCCCTTTTTTTATCTGTTCCTTTTTCCCATTATGTGAAATTTTTTGAGGAGATGCACATATACAACTTCATTGATGATTGAGTCATGAGATAGAGATAATATGAAGCAGGATGTGGTTCTTGTTGTTAAACTTTTGTAGTTAGATTCAGATTTCATAAATGTGTCTGATTTGGTACACATTTTTGGACCATCTTTTTGTTTTCTTTTCATCCTGAAATAATTGCATAAATAACTTGAAATCATGTGAGACCATTTTTTTGTGGGATCTAAAATAAGATTTAAACTTTACAACAAAACATTATGAATGTACCAAAGGGCCTTTGGCCTGGTAGTATCGTAGCCCTTGGCCTTCTAGGAGGTCAGGGTTCAAACCTCACCATAAGTGAAAAGGGCGTGTGAGTTTATTTGTTGCATTTGCCGTATATAAATATTATATACTTCAAAAAAAAACACTATGAAGGTACAGAAAAAACACATCATGATGTTTTTGTTTTGAAGTGTTTTTTCGCCTTTTACAATTGGTCTCGTGAAAACTCAACCTTTGTAGAAACAAATGTTCAATGGCTTGTCATGGTCTCATCGGATTTAGACGGGGTGTTTGGAAAGTCATTGGTTCTAATTTACAATGGGGAGTGCTAATGGCACCCCCTTTGATGTCAGAATCAGGTCATTCAAGCATTGGGAATGTAAAAAGCATGTATTGATTTTGATGTGTGTGAGGAAGAAATTCATGGATAGGGGTGCATTAAGCAATGCATAAGGGTGCATTTAGCCCACCCCTTTACAATTGATCAACCAAAATTGGGTATTTGATTGTAATTGGATTTAGTGGGACCCGAAATTTCAGTAGCTAAATCAGATTAGTTGATTGTTGGAGGACAGTTCAAAAATTAGTAACACTGAAATAGTCAAAAAAAAAATATGGACCGTCTTTTTGTTTTATTTGCATATGCTATACGAACAACCCTCACATAATCGCAGAAATAACTCTTCACGAACCTGTCATGGGTTTTTGATAATATGTGCATAAAGTGGTCTGATTTGATTATAACAGATTGACTAAATTTGTGTATTTGATTGTAATTGGGTTGAATTAGATCCAGAAGTTCAATATCCAAATTAGATCGGTTGACTGTTGGACGATAATTCAATATTCTATAAAACTGAATCGATCTAATTTGTTTTTGTCATTTTGGTGTATGACACTTGGTTATTTTCGTGTGTTTTGAGTGAAATGTATAAGTACTTGGTTCAAGATGTTAGATGAATAAAATATGATTAAATATATAACTAATAGTAATATCCAATTAGAAGTGTGCATCAGGCGGTTCGGATGGATTCAGGTGGGCAAATCAAAAACCCAATTGGGTTTCAGATATGGAAATCAAGCACCGATATTTGGGTTTTGGATTGCTTCGGGTTCGGGTTGAGGTTAGTCGGGCTGGTATAATACAAAAACTATATATATTCAATCGATTTTAAAGATGAATTCAATCGATTTAGAGGAATTCAATAGCAAGACCGGCTAGGTTTTTAGAAATTTCAAAAGATAATTAGATAAATAAATATATCTATATAGTATTTAAAATATACATATATAATATATATATATATATATATATATATTTTAGGTTTTCGAACGGATCCGATGGCCAAAGATCAAACCTAACCGGAACCCAAAAGTCGGTTTTCGGATTTTGGGGCCATCGGGTTTTGCATAAACACTTTTTCTTTGGTTTGGGTTACAGATCATTCGAGTTTAGCACACTCTTGTATCCGTTAAGTAGAGTCAAATTATTATGTTTATCTAAATATTAAATATTTTAATAATATAATTAATATAAAAAAAATTAATTCTTTTAAGGTTTATTTTTGTCTTTTTAAAGATTTATAGACACCTTAAAAACAATGGTTTTTTAGTAAATTATATTTTTCATCCCTATAGTTTATTAAAAACTGCAAATTTCATCCATGTGGTTTTGAAAATATGGTTTTTATCCTTATAGTTTATAGTTTATGGCTATTTTCATCCTTGAGGCTAATACATATCTTTAGGTCTCAAGGAAAATACTATAGATTAATAAATCATAAGAACAAAAACAACAATAAATTGTAAATTTAAGGATGAAAATTGTAATTTCAAAAATAAAGGGGTAAGAAAAGAATTCAACAAACTATAGGGATTAAAAACGTAATTAATTCTTTGTTTTATAATTTCACAAGAGAGAGCACATATATAGTGTAACGTCGTTCAGTTGTTCAATGGCAGATTATTCAAAAGATCACATAGTTCAAATCCTGTAGCTCCATTCTCATTCAGATCAATCAAATCTGATTCAAAACATGCTTCAAAAAACTAGCACATTTTCGCGCCATCTTAGCTTTCAGAAGCAGCAGCGGCGGCCTCTCAAGGAGCAACTCTTGATCATCTTGAAGCAATGTGTTTCCACCAAAACAGTTCAACAAATTCACACTCAAATGCTCATAAACTCTGTAGAACAACCCAATTTTTTACTAGCTAAGCTCATCGATCTAAAAGATTTCAGTTACTCCTGCCATTTGTTCACTTCGATGCACGAACCAAATGATTATGCTTTCAATGTCATGATTCGTGGACTAGCAACGGCCTGGAAGAGGTTCGATCTTACTTTAGAACTCTATTATAACATGAAGGTTTTAGGTATAAAGCCCAATAATTTTACGTACCCGTTTTTGTTTATTGCGTGTTCAAATCTTTTGGCGGTTGAACATGGTAGATTATCTCATAGTATGGTGTTGAGAAGTGGGTTAATGCTGGATGGTCACGTGAGGCATTCGTTGATTACTATGTATTCAAGGTGTGGTTATCTGGGGTGTGCACGCAAGGTGTTTGACGAAATTACTGACAGAGATTTGGTGTCGTGGAACTCGATGATATCTGGGTATTCAAAGATGGGGTTTCCTCGGGGTGCTTTGGAATTGTTTGAGAGGATGAGGGGTGAAGGATTCGAGCCCAATGAAATGACTTTGGTTAGTGTTCTTGGGGCTTGTGGGGATTTGGGAAATTTGAGTTCAGGGAGGTTGATTGAGGATTATGTTGTGGATAATGAGATGAAGGTGAATTCTTATATTGGTTCAGCTTTAATTGCCATGTATGCAAAGTGTGGAGCTTTGGTGTCAGCAAGGAGGATCTTTGATAAAATGGCCAAGAAAGATTTGGTAACTTGGAATGCGATGATTACCGGGCAAGTATTTCTTCCTGTTTCACCACAATACGTGATCGTTCCATGCTTGTCTCTAGGAAAAATAACCAGAACTGAGAGCATCTCCAAATAAAAAAGTGTAGCTTCTTTACAAGAACCAACTTTGTGGAGAGTTCTCAAGAACTTCGTCCCCTTTGAGTTCTTGTACAAGAGCCTTGATTCTTGTCTTGAAGTTGATGTGAAGTGACAAATTGGAAGAAAAAAGTTATATATTTTAAATTAAATATTTGATATTTATTTATAAATATATAATAATTTTTGATGTTGAAAAATACATGGGATCTACAAAAGATTGTTATAAGAACCATCATTGTGGACTTTTCTACGAGTTCTTAATTTGATGAGTTGGAAGTGATGTGACAATAAAAGTACAAAAAGTAGGTTCTTATAAGAACCATTGGAGATGCTCTTGTTATATATAAAATTTGACTTGGAAACTCTAGTGTTTCTATACAAACATGGCTATACTCTCCTCCATTTGAGAATTTCCAAATTTAAGACTACATTTATTCCATGTATTCCACTTTAAAGCCATAAAGAAATAGTGGTAGTGGTAATGGCATCGGTGTAGAGAACTAGAGATAATAGTGGCATACTACAGAGACCAGTTTTGTAAGTTGACCTCTTTTATGGATTGACTATTAGGCAAGGAGACATATTCTTTTAGGGGCTGATTAATTGGTTTTCCATCAAGTTCAACATGGATAAAGTTGTCTGTGTGGATTAATCTATTTGTATAGATTGGGAAGATTTTTTGTTTGGGAGGGTTTTTTATAGAAGAAAGGAGCATGTTTTTTAATTGGGAGGGTGGAGGATTAGGAAAGAACTTGGCTTTCTGCATAAAGCTCCCCCTAGAAGCTTACTGAATAAGCCACTTTCTATATCATTAAGCCACTACCAAACAATCATATATAGTTGACCGAATAAATTGCGAGTACCATTAAGCTTGTTAAGCTGCTAACAAACAAGCCCCATGTCTGTCATGTTTATCATGTTAAATTGTATTGCTCTCAATTGTATTTCAGTAGATGATTTTGCTAAAAGAACTATCTTGTTAATAAGCTTTTCGTCCAAACAGTTAAGCAATCCGAGTCTCATTTTTATTAATCTTTCACATGATAGATATGCTCAAAGTGGATTATCAGATGAAGCCATTTCATTATTCAACATCATGAAAGAGGAACAGGTAAATGCTAATAATATCACATTGAGCGGAGTTCTCTCCGCCTGTGCCTCAGTCGGAGCTCTAGATATCGGGATTTCAGTCGATACATACGCATCAGAAAGAGGTTTGCAACATGATATATACGTCGCCACTGCTTTAATTGACATGTATGCCAAGTGCGGGAGAGTAGACCGTGCATCTAAAGTTTATGAAAACATGCCTTTCAAGAATGAAGCCGCATGGAATGCCATGATTTCTGCACTTGCTTTCAATGGACGGTCTAAAGAGGCTATATTACTATTTAACCAAATGTCTGAAGATAGGGTTGTTCGCCCGGATGATATAACATTTGTAGCGGTTTTATCTGCATGCGTGCATGGTGGAATGGTCAAAGAAGGGCGTCGATTATTTGATCTAATGAACCCCTCTTTTGGATTGGTTCCTAAGATTGAACACTATACGTGCATGGTAGATCTTTTATCTAGAGCGGGTTTGGTAGACGAGGCATGGGATTTTATTCAGAAAATGCCTGAAAAACCTGATGAAATTGCATTAGGTGCGTTGCTTGGGGCTTGTCAGAAAGCTCGGAATCTAGATGTTAGTGAAAAGGCGATGCAGCTTTTACTGGATATCGAGCCTAGGAATTCTGGGAACTATATAATTTCATCACATATATATGCAGGTTCAAAGAGATGGGATGATTCTGCTAAGATGAGATTACTTATGAGACAAAATGGTGTGACCAAAGTTCCTGGTTCTAGTTGGATCGAGATTGATGCTCGGGTTCATGAGTTTCATGTTGGTGAATCTTTACGTACCGAAGAAATCCGCCAAATGCTTGAAGTTTTATATGATGAGATGAAACCGGAAGGTTCCATGGTGAATAGCAACGGTTTGAAAGGCGAGGATAAGAAGGTTCCTGTCAATCTTGAAGCTTATTAGGTAATTTCTTGGTACTCAACAGATTATCTGTTTCCCTGAAGGCTTGCCTCAACTTCTTTTTTCTTTTTTATCATTTTATATCTGTAACTAAGGGGGCATTTGGTTTGCCGGATTCCCACGGAATTGGATGGTCAATTCCGTTGACCAAATTCCATCCGAGCGTTTGGTTTACACATTCCACCATTCATGGATTTGGTCTTTCCATCCGAGAAGGAATTGAATTCCATATTTCCATTCCATTCCATTTTCTTAAAATGACAAAATTACCCCCATAAGATATATATATATATATATATATATATATCATATTATCAATAAACTACTTCTTGCTCATTAGAATTAACTCATTGCTCATTTATATATATATATATATATATATATATATAAATGAGCAATGAGTTAATTCTAATGAGCAAGAAGTAGTTTATTGATAATATGATCGCTGTTCATCCCAGTGACAGTGAGTTAATTCACATATGCATATGCATCCATTAAACTAAGGTCGTGCAGTTTCTTACCTTGTTTATGTTTTTTCTTGAACTTGCTTATATTTGTATGTAATTGCTTATTCATATTTATCTTTTATGCTTTTCTCTCTTTTGCACACTTTCACATGCCCGGGATTTTAACAGAAACAACCGTTCTACTCTCTGAAGTAGAGGTCATGTCTGCGTACATCCTACTTTTACCCCTCCTGGACCCGACCTCCGGGAGGGATATAATGGGCTAGCTCGGTTATGCTTTTGCGATCTGCTCTGCACTAGACAAATGTACAAGCTTTTGCATTACATCTCTGGTTATTTCTGCTTAACAGGGATCAAATGATTATTCATTATGAATACAAGGGAATGCAGGAAGATGTTGATCATCCATTCATTCGGTCTCTTTATTGTATGCTAATTTGCTCAAGAAATTGAAAGTTCATGCTGAAAAAAGACTTAAAATGATGACAGAAGTGTTTAACAAATTTGAGATGAGAGACAGAGAGACCGGCAACCCGACCAGCCCCACACGGAACCCACCCCTAGGAACCACAAGCAAGGGGACACTTCAGAGCTGACTCAGCGGCTGAGGCTACAGAACGGTTCAAGCCATTCTCCTTCATGATTCGAACTTGAACCCGTTGTCTATTTGAGCAAAATCGCTTTGCCAGTTTGCCAACTGAGCTACATGACAGGGGAAAACTGAAAGGCATATTGAAATTCAGTAATTGCTTTATTCACATATGAATATAGGATTCATTAATATTCATCAATTATATGTAGGCATCCTTAATTTTGGCCATTAGGGAGATACTGAGCTACAAAGCATTCTTCAAGATTGCATCTTTTACTTGTATAATACAAACCTCAATGAAATGCAACCTGGTTGGTTTCCAGATCATCGCTGTGTTTATAAATTTAAGAGTAAATTACGTTTTTCTGTCTGCGTGGTTTGTTAAAAATTGTGATTTTTGTCCCTGTGGTTTAGAAATTGTGGTTTTTCTGGATGGTTTGTAATTCATTGTTATTTTCGTCTTTATTATTTACAGTTTATTGTAGTTCGGGTCCCTGTTGTTTACAATTCTTTACTGTTTTAGTCTCTTGTATTTATGAGGTAGGAATTAGTCCAAGGACGAGAATAGCAATAAATTGCAAACTATAGGACGGAAATCACAATATTCGAAACCACAGGGACAAAAAATCAAAATTATTAGCAAACACAAAGACGAAAATTGTAATTTACTCTAATTTAAGCTTTGATACTCCATTCGTCCCGGAAAAATTGTCCACTTTTCTATTTTAGTTCGTCTCAAAATAAGTGTATGATTCCAAATGTAAGTCCCTACTTTCCATTTCACCCTCGGTCATGGGATGGAGAATTTCATTACGCATTTTATTATACCCTTGAGATGGAGAAATTCATTACGCGTTCTATTATCAAGGGTATAATCGTCATTTTAATTAATTAAAAAATGTAATGATTACATATTTCTTAAACTGTTGAACATTTATTTTTTATCGGAGGAAGTCATAAACAAGCGAAGAGTCCTACAGAGGTAAAGCAGGCCTAGGAATTAGCGAATGCTTTCATGAACCAGTGAAAAGAAAGGAAAACAGGTCGGAAATAAGCCCAACTTAAAGGATTAGTCTAAGGACAAAAATAGAAATAAAATGCAAACCATGGGGACGAAAATCAAAGTTAGTAACAAACAGAAAGTCGTTATTTAATCTTATTTGAATTATAATAATCCGATCACAATAAAATAACAGTTTCTAGTTTTCACGTCTCTCTCTAGGCACGAACCAATTATGTGTAATTTTATGTTTTCAATTTCGTGATTTTTCGTCACGTATCAGGTCCGTGTTTGTGTTCTTGCTTCCATTATGCATCACATGTTGATGTTCATAAACTGGAGGCTAATATTTTTATAACGACGGTAATTTTATCTTTTGCTTAGTTCACATCTCTGTTGATTTATTCTTTAACATGTTTCACTTGTAACAATTTTCAGATTTTGCATGGTTTGCTGTATTTTGAGGGTGTAACAAATAACGATTTTAACCACGAGGGTGGTATCCGATTGGTTTGAGATTGAGCTTCAAAGGTCAAAAGTGTCTGAGGTATCAAGTTCGAATCCAAGGAGAAATAAAAATCTCTTGTGGCCATGGAGGTTCAAATGCGGTGATTCCAAACTACCCGCTAATGGGTGGTTGCCTTGGTATTAGTCGGTTCGCATAGCTAGTTGGATATCCAGGTTAAAAAAAAAAAAAGAAACGATTTATAATTTGAAAACCAAAACAAACATGAGTGATCGTGTTTGTCGTAGTTTAAAAAAAAAAATTTTATGACCTTTTTGTATCCTCACTCAATTTATCAGTGATAAGCGCAGTTACCAACTTTTCCCAAAAGACCTCGATCAGTATCTTGTCTAGCATGGTCCGATCAGAGGCTTATCTAAGCATCCCCATTTATGCAACTTTCTTTAATGGGCCTTTCCCGTCACTCAACACTTCGATCCGTACTACATATACGTTATAATAGTTGTCCTATATAAGTTGTCTTTTAGTTTCAGTGAGATGTCACACAATATTCATGTAATAAACCGTCCACATTAGTCACAATGTCTTTATGTGATGCGTTACATGATTTGCAACCGCTCAGTTTTACAAAATCATGGGTCCAGATACTTGAAACTGTTGTCGCCCCTTTTAGAGTTTTCCATGTTATCTTTGATCTAGCTTTCTTCGCCCCCACCGATGCACCCTTCTCGTGTATAGTCAACAATTTGTGTTGCGAAGAAATACGTCTCCCCCATGGAAAATCTTGCAATCCGTGCACCAACCATATAAGCCTAAAAAGATAATCAATTTGAGCGTTATGCCCCCACTGTAATTAGTTATATAATACATAAATCAGAAATAATTGATTTTTTGAGTTCGGGATGTATTTGCATTTTGCGATTAAGAATGGAAGCAAACACAGAGTAATAACTCCGATTTACGTGTATAAATTACGTATAAATTACTCTTTCCTTATATTATATTTGAAAAGATGTATTGATCGATTTGAACTTCAACGTAAACAAAGAAGATACACGATACTTCGCATAACATAATATATTATATGGAATGATTTCATCTGATCGCTCGTGCACAAACACGTACTAAATGATCTACTTCATGATATCCAAGTGACAAACACTGATGCGAAAGTTAAAATCAATTTCAGTTACGCTGAAAACTTGCATATGTGACTTTGGAATTAAAATAAGACAATAATATCTCAACTTAAAAACATTGGAAAAAAAAAAGACAAATTACATGAAAAAATAACGTACTTTAACTTGATTCATGTTTTGGGTAATGTACTTTCAAAACTTTTATTTTGGTACCTAAAATGTAAAGTGTTTAAAAATTTAAGTACCCGGTAATCGGTTGAATCATTAACCGGTTACCATGCTGATGCCTGATGTGACATTTAACTCAGTACTATTTGTTGACATAGATATCTTAATTTAAAATTAGTTTTTATGTATTGTGATTTATTAAAAGAAAGAGTTAATGCTTCAACCGGTTACCCGCATACTTAAATGTTTAAAACTTTACGTCTTATGTATCAAAATGAAAGTTTTGAAAGTACGTTACCCAAAATAAAAATCAAGTTAAAGTACGTCATTTTTTCATACAATTTACCCATATAAAAAAGATAAACGTTGTGTCGATGTATGTTAGAGGAAATTAGCACTTAGTAGGGAGATGTTCATGTAGAGTCATCCTTAAACAAGTCTTCATCAGAGTTTTTTGTTATTTCTAATTTGCTAATTTAATCCAAAAATCATCTGTTACATTATTCACGTCATTTTAATTTTATCTGTATGATTAGTTCCGTCTCACAATTATATATCTGATACGGGTCCATTAATGCATCGAAACCTTTTTACCCTTTTGGCAATACAAACACATTTAAGCAAATTGTCGTTTCTGTAAGATCATAATGAAAGCGTAAATCTTTCCAACCATGCGAATACGATACTGGGATTTTTTTTTTCCTGAAAATGGATCGGTTTATAAGATCACGTTCAACACTTGTTAGCCATTTACCAACAGTTAAAGTTGTAGAAAATGATTATCAAGGCTCGAGACACATACAAATACTGATTTTCAAAGCAAAATGCATCAGTATACAACGCAGCTTGATTTAGTGTTTTTATCAACCGATGTAATAAAGCTTCAAGGTTTCTAACTTATACATATTTTACGCGCCTGTATATAAAAGAGTTATAATGAAATGGACGATAAATTTTACAGCTATATCATTAAACGTTACAAAATCAACAAGTTATCAGTCAAATAAATAAATAAAAAAAGAATAAATGTGATTTACTATATTCATTTCTTTATGAACCGATGCAAAAAAGTCTCCTAGACATACGTTGATATGCAACATGCTAATCTTGTAAAATTTGACGAGGGGAATACCTGTTTATGAAAGAGAACAAAGTGGACAGTAAACTTGACATCCACGTCATCAAATGTTACAAGATCAACAAGTTATCAGTCAAAATAAGTAAAGGAAATAGAAAAATTGAAAACTTTATAATACTAAGGATCATATAAGACGAATCTGTTTTCGTGAGACCACAAAATAAAACTGAACTTTTATGAAAAAACATTGTAGATAAATTTTGATAATATATTTTCGGTAATATTTGATTACTATGAAAAAGTCAAACACCTGAAAAGTCAGAGTGTTTGAGATTGGGTGATTTTACACACACTCACACCCTAATCTTTCGCTATAAATATCTTCGCCTCCATCCCTGATTATTCCCTTGCGCTTCTTCTCCTTCTTCGAAGCGTATTTTCCTCTCTACCTGCCTCGTATATTCATATATCTTGCAGAGAGGAAAATTTTCAGAGAAAAAGGCGGGTTGATTCTCTCAACCTTACCCTAATCATTCGCTGATTTACCCATTCCATTCAGGTACTTTTTTTAATTTTTGTTTCATTTCATATTAGGGTTACGAATCCCGCTTCAGATCTGATGTCGAATTTTCATTTTTGTATAAACCCTAAACCGAATACGGTTTATCATACCCCGGATTAGGGTTTTATCTGGTTGGCGCTTATCGCGTTTAATTTTTTTATGTTTGTTCGGTGATATTGGTATCGTGAAGGTATTATTCTTACCGCCTACGTTATCCACCTGTGAATGAATGGAAATTCGTGTTAATCGTTATGCTTGTTCGGAATTTTAACCTAGTTTATTTGATATCGAGGTTTTGTTGTTTATTGTGAGCGTGTTATGTAGTTAACTATTCATTAGTTGGAATGGCAAGTGTTTTCATGATTTGCTGATTAATCTGTAGTTTTGTCTAGTCCATATTCAGCTGTTGCAAATGGTTAAATTTATCTAGGGTTTTATATCAAATAGTGTTAATTATAAATAATTCATTTAAGTAGGATTATTTACGACTTAATTCGTATGGTGTAGGCTTCTTGATATTGATTTGTTGATATGGCTGCTACTGCAACCGCAACTGTGACTACTGCTGCTCCACGGTATGCCCCTGAGGATCCCACCCTTCCAAAACCATGGAAAGGGTTAGTTGATGGTAAGACTGGGTATCTCTACTATTGGAATCCAGAAACCAATGTTACACAATATGAGCGGCCTTCTTCGGGGTCTAAGGGTTCGACTCAACCACCAAAGTCTTCATTGGTGGCCATAAGTTCTGCAGTTCAGGTGCAACAGTCTTCACAGCAACAAGAGAATGGTTTTATTGATGATGATAGATATGGTAGAAGCAGCAATGGTGGATCCAAGATTCCTTCTGGAACAAGGGGTCATGAGGTATGTGTTTAGCCTGCCTTTTGACGTTGTGGTGTTTTTCATCAATGAACCAGGTGCATATTTTCAAAGATTTCAATGTTAGCTGTGTAAACTTTTAGATATTTTCAGGCTTCTATTCAGACCATATTTGTTGGTTTTCACATTGAATTTAACTGTGGCTTTTATGTTAAAGAAAGCCGGTTTTTACATATTTTCTTATGGTTGCATTGTTTAGAGTAAAATGCACTACCAAGATGTCCCAGAAAGTTATTTATTCAATCACATAGTTTGGGCTCCTAGAATATGGCGCCCTTTGGGCTTTCTATTTGATAGTATCGAAAGGCCCAATGAATTGGGATCTTTTGTTTTCTTATTCTTTTTTTGTGGTTAGACCCAGTATAAATTGTCTCATGTTTAGTTGATACATGTAAGATGTTATTGATCTCTTTGTGTCCCATGTTTTTGTTGCTCGTGTGTTAAGATAGATATAGAGGCATGGATTATGGAAATATTTTAAGTCAAATAGGAATGATATATATATATATATATATATATATATGTGTGTGTGTGTGTGTGTGTGTGTGTGTGTGTATTGAGTGGCTGACATCTTGAATGAATTCATTTGGAGTGGTTACTACTTACTACATTTCAAATTATAGTTTTCAGTTATTTGCTTTCTATGTATGACGATCATAGTTGTAAAAGGCGTTTAAGGCGCACGTCTTGAGGTGCACCTTGAGGCGAGGCAATCTAAAAGTGTTTATGAGGCAACACATTTGCTTCCCTGCTTTGAAAGGCCTTCTTAATTTGGTCAAATAATAGAAAAATCCCAAGTATTTCTCAAAACTCCCGATTTTCTTTCTTCTATCACGACCTTTTCACTTCTAACTCCTTGGTTAATTTCCTTTAATGATGTGTATGCAAGTGGCTGAAAGCTCGTATGAATTCATCGGTGTGGTCATTAGAGCATCTGCAGGCATGAACCTGAGGTTCATGACTTTGCCACATTTCAAATTATAATTTTTAGGTCTTGCTTTCCATGTATGTCAATCATAGTTTTAAAGGCGTTTGAGATGTCCACTTCGAGGCACGCCTCAAAGCAAGGTGGTTCAAGAGCAGTTATGAGGTGGCCTTTGCTGTCCTGCATTAGATGGACACCTTGGATGGTTGTGGTGACAACAGGAGGTGTTGTGGCCTTGAGGATGGCCGAGGTGTACATACTGAAAAGCCGCCTTAATTTAGTCAAAACAATTAAAGAAACCCTAAATAGTTCCCAAAAGTCACTCCTTTCTCTCTTCTATCTTGTATTTCTCTCCTTTATTCCTCTTGTGAATTGCTTTTAATCATGTGTATGTAAGTGGTTAACATCTTGAATGAATTCATTTGGTATGATCGTTACATTTTGAAATTATAATTTTCCGTTATTTGCTTTCCATGTATGAGAAACATGGTTTTAAATTGCAGATTATATTAATCATGTGTTAGATTTTTGATATTTGTATCATGACAAAATATTAGAAACCCTTCAAAAAAAATTGAATTTCACATGTTACACATCTTCATTTGGTTATGTGTGGTAAGTATGTTATCTTGTGTTGTTATTTTAGCTTGACTGATCACTGCCTTGTTTTCCTCCTATGTCAGAGTACAAGAAGTGGGTCCCATAATTCACACAGCACTCCAAATGGGATAATTGCTGCTGCACCAGGAGGAGCTTCTGTTCGACCTTATGGGTCATCAGCTGGAAGTGGTTTATCTCCAGATGCTTATCGCCGTAAGCATGAGATAAGTGTCACTGTAAGCATCATATGATCTATTTCAATAGAAAGTTTTGCGGCTCTTAGCACTGAACATTGCAAAAATATTTGCAGCTTTTTGCATGCACTACATGATAAACTTTTCTTGCAGATTAACTTTATTAATGATTGCTATTTTTGTTCTGTGTGAGTTCACCTTGACTTTCCATATTCTTTCTAATTCTAGAACCAATAGGTTTATGAGTAAACAAAAATTTCATGAATTTCTATTAGCTAATTCATAAAAATCTAACAAAAAAAGTTACACATATCCCAAAATTTCAAACAGTTTCACTTATAATGGGAGATCCCCAAATCTGATGGGCTATGCAAATTTAAAATTTGCAGAATTAAGCAAAACCCATATTGATTTGATACATATTTTTGAACCCCAAATTTGATAGTTTTGATTTTGGTTCAACTATTTATAGATTCACTTTCTTTGCAGTAATGCATGTGTGACGCTTGCCTTTATTTATCATCCTCGAGGCCTGCATTTATGCTTTTCTGACCTTTAGATTTCTTGCTAGCTTACCCTAACGATACTTACATAAGAAATTGTGGTTGGGCCTAACAAACGAACTGTTTAATGGGTAAATATAATTGATTCATTCACCCTCACAGGCAAAACAAGCATTAAACATGGAGGCGTCTGCTCTTTAGAAAGGCCTAATGCTAATTATTTGTCTTTATGTACCATTCTATCACAAGGTTCAACTTAGTTTTTGTTGCTTCAAATTCTGTTTTAAGTAGCTGCTGGCCTGGTTTTCCTAACTGGTGTTGTTGGCGCTTTGTTCAATCTGAAAGTTCTATTGTGATAGTATGGTAAGGAAGCAAAGTAGGCTGTGCATTTCTCCATACGGGAATAAGACATATAATATATACATATATCCTTGTTTCTCTTACCTATTTTGCATAAAATCCATTGTTAATAGTCAAACTGCAAACAAAAATTAGGAAGTAATAAATGAATATGCCACTTTTTTTTTATGAACAGCTGTTGTAGATCAGTAAAGAATCCAAGTCTATACAGTCTTTGGATATGTTGATTTTGTTTCAATTTATAAGTTACTAAGAACTCTGATGCTTGGTTATAATTTTTAGGGAGACAACGTGCCTCCACCTTTTACATCATTCGAAGATACTGGTTTTCCTTCTGAGTTACTTAGAGAGGTATATATCTTGTTATATTTATGAAGCTCCTGGTGATTAGCATGATCTTGTGCAACTTCCTTAAAGTAGGTACTACAGTGTTATGTGCATGTTGCTCTGTCATTGCTGAAGTTTCATCAAGTTTCAGACTCATGTTTACTTTTCCATCTGTACTTTTTTTCCCAGGTGCGATATTTGCTCCAGGGAGGAGCTAAATGTCGTACGCTGTGCCACCCTCTTGTAAGGGGTTGCATAAATTCTGGAGTACTCTTATACGGTGGACCAATTTTGTCAAAGGGCTTTCCGAATCATCCATGGTCGTGGTGGGGACTTCCGATGGTGATGATTCAGTTTGCCGCTTGGTCCGACTGAAGAAGAGGCCTCCTCCTGCACTGGCTTGCATCAGCAAGCATTGACTGCCGGGATTCTGGGGATGGTGCTACTTGCATCACTCCAAAAAAGAAATGAAATCAAGATGATGCTACCTCTGCTTACGGAGGTTGCTGGTTCTTTGCTTTTCCAGGTACTTCAGGCTGGGTTTTCAGCCCCCACTCCAATACAAGCACAGTCATGGCCAGTTGCTCTTCAAAGTCGTGATATAGTAGCCATTGCGAAGACTGGTTCTGGAAAGACTTTAGGTTACTTGATTCCTGGATTTATTCATCTTAAAAGGGTCCACAAGAATCGTCAAATGGGTCCAACTGTTTTGGTTTTGTCACCCACTAGAGAATTGGCTACGCAGATACAAGTTGAAGCACTGAAGTTTGGAAAATCATCAAAAATACTATGCACGGTATGTCTTTGATATTTTTCTTGTCAAAACTCATCGTAAACGTCTCTAAGAAAGTCAACATGTATGATGGTGATTTTTACTCCTGTCACAAACTAAATGTTTATATATATCTATTCTAGTTTTTCTTGAAATAAGTGTTCACTTTCAAAAGCAAGTGCCTATTTTCCAATTCTAACCTTAATTATGAGATGGAGAAATTCATTACTCCTATTACGGGTGTAATATTTTACATTTTTAAAGCTATCTTTTTTATTGTGGACATTTATTTTCGGATCGACCGAGTATTAATATTTACTAGTTACTTTATTAGCAATTGATTGTGTTAATTATTTATAGAGTGACTTACGTTTTTCGTCACCGTGGTTTGTTAAAATTTGCAGTTTACATCCCTGTGGTCTAGAAATTGTGGTTTTTGTCCCTATGGTTTGTAATTCATTGCTATTTTTATCCATGTACTAATTCTTCCCTTTTAAAGTACTAGGGACCAAAAAAGTAAAAAATTGTAACCATAGGGACCAAAATACAATAAATTGTAAATCATACGGACAAAAATAGCAACAAATTGTAAACCATAGGGATGAAAATCACATTTTCTGAACCGTAGGGACAAAAATCGAATTATTAACAAACCACAGAAACGGAAATCGTAATTTACTCTCCTTTATTTGATATAAGCTTATGCTGATTTTTTTTTTAAATATTGAATTGTAGTGCTTGTATGGAGGAGCACCAAAGGGACCACAACTAAGAGAGTTAGATCGTGGCACCGATATTGTGGTTGCTACTCCTGGTCGTTTGAATGATATTCTGGAGATGAGAAGAATAAGCCTTAGTCAGGTTACTTACCTGGTCTTGGACGAGGCTGACCGAATGTTGGACATGGGATTTGAACCCCAAATAAGGAAAATCGTTAATGAGGTTCCAGCTCGTCGTCAGACCCTTATGTATACCGCCACATGGCCAAAGGAGGTTCGCAAAATTGCAGCAGATTTATTGGTTAATCCAGTTCAGGTGAATATTGGGAATGTTGATGAACTTGTTGCCAACAAGTCCATTACACAGGTACTAATATTTTCAGATTTCCGTCAACACTTGCATATGAATCATCTGTAGCTCGAGATGCTCTTTTCTTTGCTTGAAAATTCCCTTTTGTGGTTGCCGCCCTCCATTCCAAAACAAACATTCACAATTAAAAAGGCACAAAGTTTTAGGAATGTGTAATTATTACACTTTTTAAGTAGCTAAATGACATTTTTACCACTACTAATAGAGAGATACTTTCTTCATCTCATAGGGACATCTGGAACCTGCTTTTGAAAGTGGGCATTTATTTTGGGACAAACTAAAATAGAAGGTTGTTGTAGCAATGTATTCCGATGTACTCCCTCCGTCCCAAAATAAACGTCAATGGCATATAGTTTTAGGAATGTGTAATTATTACATTTTTAAGTAGCTAAATGACGTGTTTACCCCTACTAATAGAGTGGGAAACTTTCTCCATCTCATGAATAAGGGTAGAATGCGAAATTAGAAACTTGCTTTTGAAAGTGGACGTTTAAATTGGGACAAACTAAAATAGAAATGTGCACACTTAATTTGGGATGGAGGGAGCATTGCTATAAGGCTATGTTTGGCAAACTAGCTGAAAAGCTAGGTGTTGCCTTATATGTTAATCGATAAACTAGTAATGCTTGGTAATAAGCTAGGTGATAATGTAAAACGTCTTATAGTAGAACATGTTGAAAACTGATGTCTAAAAATGTAAAGGGTATAATTGGAAAAAGTGGAAAAACCCCATGGAGAAAATCTAGCTTATGAAACCAAACGGGCTTTTTCAATAAGCTAAAAAAAAGCTAGTTTATGGTTGCCTAAATCTTTCTAATTGAGTGGTGTATGATTGCAGCACATTGAGCTTCTGGCTCCAATGGAGAAACACAGACGACTGGAGCAGATATTGCGATCTCAAGAACCGAGATCGAAGATCATCATCTTTTGTTCAACAAAAAAGATGTGTGATCAGCTGGCTCGCAATTTGACCCGTCAATTTGCTGCTGCCGCTATTCATGGAGATAAATCTCAGGGCGAAAGAGATTACGTGTTGAATCAGTTTCGTAGCGGCAGGTCTCCGGTGCTTGTAGCAACTGATGTTGCTGCTCGTGGATTGGATATCAAGGATATCAGGTTTGAGATTTTGCTTATTTTGTTCCATGTTTAAAAAGGATGATTGCATGCCCTTTTGGTTTGTTTTATTGGATAAAATGGTTAAAATGCTGGTTGAATCTGACCTCTACCCCAGAGAGTAGAGCGGCTGATTCCGTGAAGACTCCTGGCTTGATTTGGCCAAGGGGTTGTTTGTATGGATCAAGTTGTCTGTATAGATTAAGCTAAATTGATGTTTGTTTGTTGTGCTGTATGATGTAAATGACCATTTTACCCTTACAGTTTGTTTTTTTTGGTTTTATGGTGTGGCCAAGTAATTTAACTTTTGTGCTGTATGATATAAAATTACCATTTTACCCTTACAGTTTGTTTTTTGTTTTATGGTGTGGCCAAGTAATTTAAATGTTGTGCTGTATAATATAAAAATGACCATTTTACCCCTACAGTTTGTTTTTTGTTTTATGCTGTGGCCAAGTAATTTTAAATGTTGTGCTGTATGATATATAAAAATGACCACTTTACCCTTGCAGTTTGTTTGTTTTTTGTTTTATGGTGCGGCCAAGTAATTTAAATGTTGGTTTTTACGATTATCCTTTACAGGGTGGTGATCAACTATGACTTCCCTACTGGAGTCGAAGACTATGTGCATAGGATCGGACGGACAGGCAGGGCGGGTGCCACTGGAGAGGCTTATACGTTTTTCGGGGACCAAGATGCGAAGCATGCTTCAGATCTCGTCAAAGTGTTGGAAGGGGCGAATCAGCGTGTCCCTACAGAAATTCGAGAGATGGCTTCACGTGGTGGCGGGATGGGCGGCAGGCCTAGGCGTTGGGGTGGTGGTGGTTCTAGTTTTGGTGGTCGTGATGGAGGCCGTGGAGGACGATCTGATTCAAGCTTCGGTGGACGGAGTAGTTGGGCCGCTGGAAGGGGTGGAGGCCGTGATAGGTACACACTCTCACCTGTACTTTGCTCACTTGTTTCTCTTACACTGTTCTCGAGGAAAAGGACGGAATGGAAAAAGAAAATATCATTTTTGTTTCCTCCGGAATGTGGGAAGAAAGGGAAAAGAAATCTGAAAGGAAAAGTATGAAAAACAAGCATAAAGGGTATATTTGTAAAATTGATATTTTTAATAACAAAAACACCGTTATAAGGAAAAGTGAGGAAAACAAATATAATATATATTTGTAAAAATGACATCTTCTATGACAAAAATACTCTTACAAGGAAAAGTGAGAAAAACAAAACAAATATAAAGCGTATATTTGTAAAATTGTCATCTCTTATAACAAAAATACCCTTCTCCTAAATTCGACTATTTTTTGTTTTGCAAGCCTGGGTGGTAGAGACATCCTACTCTCCCCAGATCAGATCTCTACGTGGGATATTGAGTTCGTTCGGTTTGATTTTAGTCTTTTCACCAATGGTGGTGTTGTATTTGCAGCAACAGGGGTGGCTATCATCATAAGAGCTTCCATGAAAGCACCGTGGGTGGTGGAGAGAAGCGTGGGAGGAGCAGAAGTCCACCGAGCAAAGGTGGTTCAGGATGGGGTGGTAGGGCTCGTAGCCGTAGCCGCAGTCTCGACAGGTTCGACAAGCCGGCTAGGACCAATCCTATTGGCCCACATGAGTTTCGCCCTCGGTTTCGTCCTGGTGACGAAGAGGAAGAAGGTATGATTCGAGAGTAAGCAAGCAAGCAAGCAAGCTGATTGGTGACCAAAAACATTTTGCCATTTATTCTTTTTTCTAGATATGGGTATCGACTGTGTTGTTAACTATCCCGTAGGTGTTTAAACATAGCGAAGCACAGCCGATGTCCTAAAAAACAGGGCTTCGGGGTCGAACGAATGTACAATTTAGACGAGTGCTTTAGAGGAGATCTTTGAATTTGTTGTTGGATGGTAATATTGGTATGTATTGAGTCTGTACTTGATGTTGGTTACATACAACATATATATATATATAACATATAATATCATTCTAGTGTTGGTATGTTTGCTTATGCATTTTTGTTGTGAACCATTTGATATAAGATTATTAACTCTGTGTTTTAAAATAACTTTGTCTACGTTTTTACTTTAGTTTGTCTCAAATTATCGTTTCCTTTCATTATTAATTATGAAATATATATTTATTTTGGAATTGATTTTTTTTAAATATATAATATTTATATACAGTAAATACAACAAATAAATTAATAGCTTTTTTGAGCCTCTGAACTCAAGCTTTGTGTTATTATGTCTATCTAACAAAATAATGCTTGAATAATTTTCAACTCAAATGAGAATCCTTAATTTATTCTACTCCAATAATTTTTAAATTTCCTAAATATGTTCGAGATAGAATTAGCATATACAATTAATACATCCTTTCAGAAATAATTGTATTTATATACTTAATTGCTCAATACTATAATGCAAAACAAAACCTTTCTACAATAAATTGACCTCTAATAAGGAATACAAGATACCAGTGTCAACTTGATTCAAATGAACTTTGTTTTAGCGGTATGTGTGTCTTTGGCCTCCTAGAAGATCATGGGTTCAAACCTTACCAATATGAGAAGGATGTGTAAGTTTATTTGCTGTATATACTTAAAAAAGAAACTGCGTTGCATTTTGAATTTAATTTATATTATGATATAAATAAATAAAAAGATAGTTTTTTTTAATATTAAAATCTTGAAAAGGTAGTTATTTAAGAATGTTGTTATGGAAAGTTTACATCATATCAGTTGTATCCTTAATTTCCTAATCCACAACCATTTACCATCAACAAATCCTTTCTTTTTGGAACTAATGATCCATTTAATCCATATCAAGCTTCTTCACTAAATGGTTACTTAAAACATTCAATCTCCTTTATATGTTTCAACTACAATTATCAAGATGGGATGATTGTGAAAGCTTTCTTTGGAGGAACCAATGGATCAACAATTCAGTTTTCAGATGTTTGGATCAGCATTTGCAAATTCTCCCCGAGAGTTTTCGTGCTTGAGCTCGATTGAAAACGACCGGCACAAGAAACCAAATGGCCGGAAGAACAATAACGCTAGGAAGAAGAGTGGTAAGGATTGGAGGAAAACGCTAATCATTAAGGGACAATGGAATTCTGAAGAAGACAGGTAATTCCTAGGAACTTTTGTAAGTTTCCAGACCAACAAGTATGACCGTTAAAATAGTATACCAAACCAAACGAACCCAATATAATATTCCACCAAAGGTGGGATTTAAGGGGTAAGATAAACCGTTTTATTTTTTAAATATATAATATTTATACAAGGGGTTTTTATATACACCCCCTTTGATCAAAATCAGATCAAATCATGCATTGAAAATGTAAAAAGAAGGAATTTGATGTTGATGGGTGTGAGGAAATTAGTAGAGTATGGTGCATTTAACAAGTAGGGAGGAGTGTATATATCATAACCCTATTTATATACGACAAATACTCAAGCACACTCCTGTTTGAACCCTTGACCTTTGGGGAAACTGGGTTCTACTGGCAATCTGGATACCACTGATTAATATCTGACCATGTCAGAATCAAACCTAGAACCTAATGTCTTTCCTTTAATTCATCTTATTTCAAATTTCTCCCTAATTTTCATGATGGAAATAATACCTTCATTTGCAGGTTGTTGATGCAGTTGGTGAAGCAGTATGGGGATAGCAAATGGTCCAGGATTGCTGAAAAGCTTCCTGGAAGGATTGCAAAGCAATGTAGAGATAGATGGCAAAACCATTTGCGGCCGGATATCACGGTATCTCTTCCAACATTTTTTCTTAACGTGTCTACATACATTCCAATTGTCCCATACCCCACCTCCAGGTGGGATATATTAGACTCGTTTGGTTTGGTTTACGTTAGCAACAAGTCTTGAACTTGCAACCACTAAGTTCTAAAAACTCAATTAGTACTAATTGGACCAAAGTCCCCTAGAGCTATTAAATTGTCTCATGTTTGGTGCGAAATTTAGACCACAGGATCGAGCGGGACAAAAAAATCAAAATAGGTACGCAAAAATCAGGAAAACGAGGCAAGATTGGTAGATTACTAAACTACCTTTGTCTGAGTAAAACCCTAGAACCTTCCATAATAATTCTTTCACCCGCCTATCTCACTCTCACCTGTCAAGCCAAGTCCATTTTGCGTACCAAACGCACCCTAATGTTAATAGCATGCAAGTGCAGATGATGAGTTCTTATGGTATCGTTTGGTTGTATTACTCGGTATGTTAACCAAATACTTGCAGAAAGATGCATGGTCTGAAGAAGAAGACAGGGTATTGATTGCAATTCACAAAGAAGTTGGAAATAAATGGTCAGAAATAGCGAGAAGAATGCCTGGAAGGAGCGAAAACACCATAAAAAACCATTGGAATGCTACCAAAAGGAGGCAGCTATCATCCCGAAAGCGTGGCAAGCCTAAGTACCAATCCCTCTTGCAAGAATACATCAGGAGTGTATCTTCATCCTCCTCTTCATCTGTGAATCAAATCAACATTAAAGAAAATAATGTGAAGAAAACTCAGATGGTTAGTGCCCCTATCACTTCTCTGCAGACAAACTTCTCATATGCAGATGTGAATGGCTCATCTTCATCTTCTTTAGAAGATTACAGTTTAGGTGCTATGATGGGTTATATTCCAGGTGGATCGATGCTTCATGAAAGCAGTTTGGAGTTCGATCTTGGGCCGTTTCATTTGAGTAGTCAGTTGGAATTTGATTTGAAGAAGGAGATGGATTTTCTGGAGATGCTCTATCAATAGTGTGTGTTCAAATAGGCATCTTCCTTTAATTTTCGTGTTTTCTGTTGAGATTATGAACTTTGGAACTGTGTTTTAGTTCAAGTTCTTACTTTTTGGAGTTCATTACATACTAGATTTATGATTGAAAGTGGTCTTTTATTAACATGTCTGTGTTTTAAGAGTTGTCCCATGTACCTGAGAAAGTGAAAATAAAGGGGGTATATATGTGCAAATGTTCTTGATTATCTTACTATGTAATCGAGAGAATGTTGAAAAGATTTATATATATTTAAATCTTGAAGTAGCACTTTTCATAATGGTGTTATAATTTTTGCTTGCCCGTGCGTATCAAGTTTATACTCTCAAAATCCAAGATGTTCAGGAAGAGTTCTATGATTGCTTTGCTGCATAAGCTGTTACTTGAGGTTAATCCTGGAAGAATTTCGTCAGGAAAGCCACCAAAAAAGTTTAGTGGGGACTACTAATTCTTTCCTTTGAAGTGTGCGTGGGTATATATAATATGAAGGAGATTCATTAAGAAATCTTAAATATTTAGGAACCCATAAACCATCCTTTTGTGAGTATTCCTGATATAATATGATAAAATATTCATCATGAATACTCACAGAATAGGTTGTCCCTGTTGAAGCCGCAGAGACTCCCTGTTGAAGGGGTGGGATAAGGTCATGTATAAGTCTAGTAAGCACCATTAACCTAACCTCTCGTGAACCATGGAATTAACCTAGAGTCAAGCTTTTGGTTAGTTTCAAGTCTTCAAGGTGATGAACCCCAAGTGAGTATATAACTCCAATAGACTTGTTAGTACTCGATATTATCTTGGCTTGTGTGATTAACCAAATGACTTGCCGATGGATTTTCAAATCTAGAAGATACATGGTCAGACTAAGCCTCATGCCTCCCAACAAGGTTGCTTTTGGTATGCAGACGGGACTAGACTGGACTAGACAGGCGAGGGTGAGGTAGGCAGGTGAAAGAAACTGTGCAAGGTCTTAGGGTTTTAATTTAACATAGGTAGTTTAGTAATTTACCGACCTTGACATATCTCCCTCATTTTGTTCCACCTATTTTGGTGGTACAAAATAATGCAATTTTGTCCCACTTGATCTTGTCCTATCCTAGTCATAATGCTGCAACAAATGTGGGACAAGAATTTGTCCAATCCCTCCTACCAAAAGCAGCCAAAGCGAACAATAGGATGCAAGAGATGATTGTTAAATTTGAGAACAGAGTTGACGTAGAAAGCTCCCTCTTCAGGTTAGATTATTGATTATATGCTTTATTCTATTATCGAACACTCTGAAAATTTTATAAGCAAACTCGAGGAGGATCGAGGAATGAATGCTCACCTCTTTCCTGATCCATAGACCTTTTGCTTAATACATATGATGAGTGGTTGGTGAGATCAGAAGGCATTGCAGTGGCAAAACCAATCCTGTATTTGATCAACACAGTAGAAGATGGTGTTACAATATTTACTTGAATTGACTTGAAACCTTATGAAATGGAAAAAGTGTGGCTATATCTGTGGGGCTTGCAGACTCACCTGAGCTTTCAGGAGCTGAAGAAAAGTTAATACAGGATTTAGAAGCTGTTTCGCTCTCATTTTTGTGAAAATTGCAACAAAATTCCTTTATGATGTCTATTAAAGAAACAGAGGAAGCCAAAACATGACCTTAACCTATGACCATGTTCTAGTTCTAGCCATATGTAACACTACCAATGGTGACTAAATGTGCAGTAGGAGACGATAGAGATGCACAAAAAAGCCGAAACTCAAAGCCCGGACAGGGCCAGACCTCAAAGCCAATCAGGCTGAAGTTTTAGGGGCAGGCCCTACGCCCGACCTGAAAAATCTCAGCCATAAAAAGCCCAGTTAAGCCGGAAAAGCCTGATTGGGCCCTTTTTTGCTCACCGAAAACGGGCTCGAAAGGTCCAAGCCTTATGCATCTCTAGGGAGCAGTATCTTTACTGATCAAGCCTAACTCGTTTGAAGGAGATCTAACATGGCGGACCTAGCAGGGCCTAACCAGTCCTTCCAGGCCCTGCACCTTTTTACCCCTAAAACTACCAACAACGATTTCCTTTTTTCTTGAAAGAACTAAAAGTAAGATCTTTGCATTCAATCTCATGCTACCATCTTTGAAAAAAGAAAGGTGAGGCAAACTCATGCTCATTTCTATTCAAGAGAGAATGTAACAGCATGTGCTTAAGGTTTTTCCAACAATTCTAACATTGAAAACCTGTAAAAATGGCGATCTTGGCTTCCACAAAACTTCAAAACAAGATGATTGGATCGGAATCATGAAAATTGTCAGTAGTCATCAAGCTTCATTGAAGCTAGGAGACGACCTATATTGAAGCCGAAAACAACTGCTCATCGTAATCAGCAAGTTCTAGAGCTATTCCGCTATTTAATCAGTCTAACGCAGGCTCAATGTATTATCATCAGGCAACACATCTAAGTCTAGCAAATGTTAGATAGCCCGTGTGACCTTTTGCCTCGCCAGATGGTCTAGCCATCACAATAGATGATCCAGAATGCTCCTGTTCCCATTGACTTCCTTCACTTGTACGATGCTTCCTCTTGCATGGGCGAGACCCAGGAGTACCTCCTTCAGTTTGACAGTGATCCATTTTTCCTTCTCGAACTTCATATGTGCGCAAAAGGACCTCAAATGTTCTTATATCTACATATCCAACATTTATTCACATTATAAGCAGAAGCTCTCAATTTTAAAATGGACTCCTGACAAAATGTGTGTATTTAAACTTCAAAGCCAAAACAATGGATTTTTACAGATTCATACCATCTATATACCATATTATAAAGCCATTTTTGTTCTTAAAAACTCTTAATTTTTCAAGGACATGACTATTAAAGCATCTAAGTATAAATCAATAATGCATTAAAAAATCTTTCAATTTTTATAATATTTCTACCTTGCCCCTTTTGTAAACAACAAAAATGGAAGCTTGAATGGTTTACCTCATTCTTTCAAAATCTAAATTACCTTAAATATAATTAATTTTTTAATCAAACAACTTATATTAAAGAAATGAGTATTTTATTCTCTTCAATTTGGTACCTATATTGATGTATTTTTTTCAACTTCTTAAACCATATTTTCAAAATTCCAATCATGAATATATTCTTATGTATGTATATATTAATACTAATATATTTACTATATTATAAAACATTTTCATTTTTTTTAAAATCTCTTAAAATTCAAGTTTATAACTTATTATTGCATATGTACAACTTGTTAAAAGTCCACCTTTGGACACCATAAAATTAACTGATAAACATGTTCAAATATAAGATAAACATTAAGCCCTACTAATACATTAAAATCCCGTCTAAAATAGTTGATAACCAACCGAAGACTTGGTCGCTCACTCAAAATCGCACAAAACCATAAAATAAATTTAAAAGGGATAAAGTGTAAACATGAATTATGAATGAGGGTTAAAGTTCTCAGCTTCATATCAAGACGTATTGAGTTGCATTGCACAGGTACATTTCTAGTGTCTGATATAACATTCTTTTTGTAACATTTAGTTGTCAAATTGTTTTGAAGGTCTTAGAGATGAAGTTATCAATACGGTGGCCTTATAGGTTCTTAATTTGGAAAAGAGGGTGTTGAATAAGATGAGCATACCAGTAAAATTCGATGCAAGGGTTTCAGATGAACGTTGTACTTGTTCAATGCAAGGCGAGAATGAACACAAGACTCCATCTGGTTTCAACATTTCTCCAGCAGAACCAATAGCAAGCCAAGGCTGGGGTAAATCCAAGAAGACGGCATCTGCTAGACCTGTTAGATCTTTCGGAAACCCCTCACCCTGAATATCTCTAACTCCCACTGTCACCAAACTGCTCAACCCTGTTCTCTCAAAATCTTCTCTGTTGCAATGAGATAGAATTCAAATAAGCAAACATCATTACTTGTTCCTAGACCTTCTAATTTAATAAGAAAATATCGCTTCTCCGTTAATTTGTTTTGCTTTAGTTTATACTTTACAATATAAAACATATGGGAAAGAAATAAAGAAATAAGGGAACGCATAACACATGTACTAGAGGCCTTACCTAGCAGCCGCAGCTCTCTGTTCGTGAAAATCAAACGTATGGACATGTCCAGTAGGAGCAATGGCCCTTGACAGAGAAGTCGTTAATGATCCGCTTCCGGTACCGGATTCAAGAACCACACAGCCAGGAATCAATTCTAAGTACATGACCACAAAGCTGATATCTGCAATGTAAAGAATTTGAGTTCTGTGGCTTAAAACCAATGTCCATAGCTCAGGAGTTGGAGCCAGCAAGTACACAAATCCACCCTTGTGGCTAGACACTTTACAGCCATATGGTTTCCCAATCCAATCTGCATGCTTAAATATACCGAAACGGTTCTCAAGAACAGATTTCTCACATACTTTTACAGCCTTCATGTTATCATGTTTCTCGTATACAATAACCAAATCACCATCACTTATGTTCCGCTTGAACGACAATTTCTTCGTAGGATCAGTAGGCAACATCGTTTGGGATCGTGATACAAACTCACAACTGAATCTTCAAGTGATCACTCTATATGTGTAAAAAAGCGATCACCTTGATCTGGGAAACTGTACATTCCATAAAAAATCAGAGTTTGTGAATTACTACATGGTCTCATGAGAAAAGAACAACAAAAAACGAGCTGACCTCCATTGACGCTAACTCTGTTATCCGAAAACCAAGATTGATCTTGTTACCAATAGTCAAACAGCCTTTTCAGTTTGTTATAAGGTAAAATGTCGAATTCTAATGACTAATTGAGTATTATTTCATGTACTTCTGCAAAATCCATCGCTGCTAATAAAATTGCACAAACTCAATCAATGGCATTTCCGAAACGAACAGAACCAATTCTATACAGATAATTGTGCGTGCATAACTGAAATCAACTAGCTAGATATCTTCAATTCATTCTTCTTTTCATCAGCAGAGAATCGAGATTTTCTGATCAAATTAGAAGCTATCAGGTTAAGGTAAGTGCACTTACTGGTATTCAGAGGGTATGAATCAGATTCCGTCACCGTACATCAAACGCCGATGTGGTCCAATGGTTGAGATCGTTCGTCTTTTTCTCCCTCCAACAATATTAGGGTTTAGGTGTTGTTCGAGCGGGTAAGTTCAAGTAAGTTACTGTTTAACCCTTATACTATAGAAAACTAACAATTTATACCCTTTATATTTAGATATTGACCAAATAAACCCCAAAGAGAAAATAGTATATCATTTCAGTAAACTTAACTCTCTTTCTTTATTTTCTCTGTAATAGCTTATAATCTTGATTCAGACTTATCGATGGTGTTCGATTGTAGACGGATCCTATTGCTACTCAATTGACCAAGACGGTAATGCTTCAAATCAAGAAATCGTATTTCAAAAATAGGCTCTAAATCTGTCTGGACATTTTGAATTGCATAAAATAGACGTAACAGTGCATGGTTTTTATTGACCAACTAAAACCCTTTTTGTTCAATGTCGTCAGATTGATCTGACTACAATTGGTTTGATTCGATACTGGTCTTATAGTCAAGCTTCTTTTCCTCTAAAAACATAAAAATCGAGAAGGAACACTCTCTTAGGCTTGTAAGAGCATCTCCAACATATTATCTGAAATGGAGAAAATAGAGATTTTGGCAAAAACTTTGCTCCAACAGATTCTCCACTAAATAAAGCATAAGAGATGGTGAAATTATTCAAAATTAAAGAACTGTCAAAAATGATTATTATGAGATAGAAATATCTTCTATTATATTAACAATAAGAAACTTTGATGTTAAATATTTATGAAATAAAAATAATATTTTATTATATTTATAAAATATTTTAATAACATAGTTGATGTTGTAAACTTCAAAATAAAAAATCTGTTTAAGTTTAATGTAATTAATTTTAGATATTTTAAATTTAATTACCCACTTTAGAAAAATCTGAATTGAAGATGCTCCAGGATGTGCATATATTATATGTTATAGGCCCATCATCACCATAAACCCGTTTTCATAAGTATAAGTGTAAGAGTTGTTTGTTTACTTCTTAATAGTTTCATTAAGAGACATCATTTGAATAATTAAGAAGAGAATCTTGTTTGGCAAAAAAAAAAAATTCTTCTTAATGGTTCTAACACCTTCTGAATGATTTTGTATCATGGTCTCTCTTAACCATTCAGCGTCCTAATTTCATTGTAAATAATCATCAAACAATTAGATCTCATTTTGCACTATATCATAAGAACCTCTTAATCATTCTGACCACTTAACATTCTGCAGCAAATCATTCAGTAACTGCCAAACAATCTCTAAATTATAATACTAGAAAATTGGGTTATGTTATCCATATATGGGCCTATAAATTAGGCTTGGGCTATCATCACATTAAGCCCATCTAAGAAAAAAGACATACTAAAATTTGGGCTAATAATTTTATGTTAATGGGCCTACAAATTGGGCTTATAGATTATGGCCCATCGTAATATTAAAGCCCATCTAAAGAATTGCCATATATAAAAGGAGACTTATCACAAATAGATTCCCCATGTACTTTTGGCCCTTCACTTAGATAGTTGGATATCCCTCAAGGATAATTGGATTTGCTATTTTTGTATAAATAATAAAAATATCTACACAAAATATCTAAGTAATTCCCCCATTTGGTCACCTACAAGATATTTATATTGATACATATATAAATGTGTGATAAATACACAAACATTAAAGAGAAGAAGATATGAGAAGGATTCAAAGCCATAAGCTCCCATGCTTACATTGTCAACCTCATGGTTTCATTAGAATGGCAAGTCATATATATATATATATATATATATATATATATTTGCATACTATATATCGTTTATGTTTTATATTTGAAAAATCAGACTTGCATACACTCATCTAGGGTTTTACTTTGGTGACTGTATTTTGCTGACAATAATCTATAGGTTATGTGTTACAATACTCGTATATTGATGGTTTACTGATCATGTGTCAATCGACATGTGACATAACTTCCATCTCCCTAAATGTCGGTTTCATAACTTTCAATAGAGGAGTCAAACTCGTTTTTTGTGATTGATATTTCGTGTTTTGCATTACAGGTTCATCATTTGATAGAAAGGTGCATGCTTTTCAGTATGAGTCGAGATGATTGTATGAGAACGCTTGCTGAGCATGCTGACATCCATCCCATTGTTACCCTTACAGGTTGATATACATTAGCCATTGTATTTTGTGTGTGTATATGCATGTCCTGTAAAAAGAGTGTTTGTTCGTAAAATAATCATGTGTTTTATGTGTTTTTCTTAAATAAAACAACACAGTGTGGGAAGAACTACTTAAAGAGAATAAGAGCTTTTTCCAAGCGTACTCACATTCTGTTTCAGAAAACAACAGTAAGTCTACATCAAATTTACCCACCCTTCGTACATGTTGAAATATTACTATCTTAAAGTTAATTACAAGTTTTTATTGTTTTTTGCGTGTTCTAATTGAAATTTTATAGGATGGCCACAAGAGACTGATAACGCCAACCATTACGGAAGAACATAGATGTCACATAGGAGATGATATTAGTTGGTAGTTTGCTATAACTGTTTTTGCAACAGTTTGTTATATGAAATATGCAAAATTTTACTTTTTAGAATTTTCTTAATGATGTTTCTTTCTTGAAGTTTGCATGGTAAAATTACTCATTTACCAGTTATCAATATTTATCAACATTCTGATAATTTTCTGATAAATAAATAAAAGATATCGATTCCTGACTTTCATGATAAAGGATGTCATTCAAACCAATAAATTAGGTCAAACTAAAGTAAACCAACAAATTTGTTCGATTTGAAGATGACCCTGATTAGTTTTTATTCAAAACAGTGGCGGATCCATAAACTTTTTTAGTTGGGGGCACACTCAGGGGCGTAGAAAAAAAAATTCTAAACCAAATAATTCATCCGGATGAAAACGGTTTTGGGTTTTCCTTTTCAACTTAAACGGTTCAGTTAACCGAATAAAGGTAACTTATTCAGGTAGATTTTCAATTGACTTTTTACTAATTTATCGAAGCGTATAATTTTTATATTTTATATTTCAAACGAAAATATCAACATGTGCTGCAAATGGACCAATTAACAATCAATATATCAAGTTGGGGGCCGTTGCCTTGTTCTTGTTGGGCGCACAATAGAAAAATTTACTAAACAAATCTTTTTATAGACTATTTTTATAAAAAAATTGGTGGGTTTGTTGGGGGCCTAAGACTCCTACCACCATGCACTAGATCTGCCCCCTGATTCAAAGGGTATTAAAAGCACCATGTGTATGTTGGATATGATTTTCACTTTCTCCGTAATCCTTGACGTAAATTAAAGAAATTCCGCCAAATATGACATGAAGTTTCACCCTCACGTTAATACCATTCACATCGCATCTCATAACCCACTCGTCATACCTTTTTGCACCAATAAAACTCTTAAAGGCTATTCTCCACCAAACCTCTACTCACGATAAGTATTACACGTATGGAATCGTTTTTTACTTTAAAAAGCATATAAATTTTTGAACGAACAACTGACTGCCCATCTACCAATTTCCAAATTACGGTTTTTATCCCTATAGTATGTAATTTATTATTGTTTTCATCCCTGATTCTAACTCCATAATTGGTTTATGCAAGAGGAAAACAACAATAAACTGTAAACCATAAGGATTAAAACCGTAATTTTAAAAATGTAAATACAAAAATAACAATTTCCAAAAAACCAAGAGACTGAAAATGTAATTTGCTCAAATAAATATAAGATTAAATTACGATTTTCATCCTTGTAATTTGTTAAAAATTAAAAATTTTATTTCGGAGTAAACTACGGTTTTCACAGCCCTAAAGTTTGTTACTCGTTGCTATTTTTGTTCTTATTATTAACAATTTATTATAGTTTCAGTTTTTATGGTTTACAACTATTTACTGTTTTGGTGTCTTATATTTTAGAATAAGAATTAATCCATGGATTAAAATAACAATAAATTACAAACTATAGGATAAAAATTACCATTCTTAATTCTTAAGGATGAAAATTAAAATTATTAAGAAACCTTAGGGACAAAAATCAAAATTCGAAAACTATTAAAGCATCTCTGCCAATCATTTAATAAATAAATAAATATTTTGTATTTTATCATAAATTGAATCGACATAGGAAATGGACAAGTGGGTGCCAATCGTGTGAATCTTGCATCAAATGGACCACGGCCACCAGTCCACTCACAGACTACCGAATCCGCCCAACATATAAAAAAAATCATGAGACGCCATTCAGATTCGGCATAATTTTTAACATCTTGGATCTTCTCCATCCTAAAGGATCGGGAAAAAGGTAACTTTTCTTTGACATTTTCATATAATTCGTGGATATGTTTTCATTCATAGCTCGTAGAAACTGCCCTCTATCTGTTTGCTCTAATGTCTATGTGAGTTGCCCACTGGTTTCGATGCATGATTTCAGTTGGTTTTACTGTAGATTTGAATGAAACTCAGGAAAACGATTGATTTTGTGATGTTTTTTTTATGGAAACTGCAATGCAACTTTTGTGGGTTTGTTTACATTTTGATGCTCTTTCTGAAATCTGGTTAAATTAGGAATCAGTGGTTGTAGTATTTCTAAATCATATAATGAACTTAGCAGGACTTTTCTTTGAGTTTGTAATTGGCATTTCAAGATTAAAATTTGGAGGAAAGATGGAACAGGATCATATAAAAGTGATTCATGATTCCAATAGCTTAAGCAAATGGGATTTTTGGCATTAAGCATGTGGTCAGATTACTCTCCAAAAAGCCCTTTGGGGAGAAAGGAGAGGTTCCAGCATATCTTGAGGAGAAAATGGTCAAATTCTAGCTAATGTTGGACTTCAACACACCCTCTCCAATGGAGGCTAGACGGACACAAATTCTCCTACAGTGTCGAAAGGGTGCTAGATAGGGACATATTGTCCCTGAGTCCCTAAGAGTGGTAAACCTTGGCTCTAATACCATGTGTGAATATGTGGAACCCCATTAGATTACTCTCTAAACGAGCTCTCAAGGAGAGAAGGGGGGTTCCAACATATATCAAGGAGAAATAGTCCAAATCTAGCTGATATCGGACTTCAACACTCCCCCTCCAATGAAGATTAGACGGGCACAAATTGTCCTAGAGTGTTGAGAGGGTGCTAGACACACATATTGTTCTAGAGTCCCTAGAGTGGTAGACATGGGCTCTGATACCATGTGGAACCCCATCTATTTACTTTCTAAAAGAGCTCTTGAGGAGAGAAAGGGGGGGGGGGGGTTCCAACATATATCGAGGAGAAATGGTCCAAGTCTAGTAGATGTGGGATTTCAACAGAATCGGTTATGGAAGTTTCATCTTCCATTTCTCAGATTTTAGTAAACCTTTTGAATCTGAAAAAATTGACATTGCTCTAGAATGGGGTGATATTGTGCAGATGGTAGAACATTTGCTAGAGGTTTAACGGCTCAGCCTCACACCCAGGATGCAAGCCACTTGCTACTTACAAAACATGCTCAGTTACACATGTTTGCATATACACCCCTTGTGGAAACAAACCAACAATTTTCAAGTTCTAAAGTGGGTTCAAGCCATGGAAGCTAAATCCCTATAACAGCAGAGTGAGAGTTTAAGTTATGTACCTGAGCCTGCTGTCAGAACTTCAGTGATCCCCATGTGTTGGATCAAAATGTTCATAATATCTCATCTATCTCCTTGAGGAAACATCAAATAACAACTATAATATTTCATGTATTATTCATAATGAATAATCATGAATACCTATCACCAAGGTTCTAAATAGCGTGAGGCGTGGCGGCAAGGCCAAGCCTCAAGCCTTTCAAGCCATGGCGAGGTCACGACATTTTTGAAGGCGTGACTTATGGCAGCAGATCTCTATATCATATATGGTATCATATACATAAACATATATTTTATACTATTACTCAAGGTATCAATGATAATAAACAATTTAAATTAAGTTATATATATATATATTAAAAAGATAAGTAAAATCAAATATCAAGTTACAAAAACCGCATATTACACCAAGGCATGCTCAGGCATAATGTGGCGTGAGACACAAGCCTTGAGCCATGGCGTACCATAGCGGCTGTTGCGGCGAGCCTTATTGAACAGTGCCTATCCCGACATATATCATGAATATATCATGAATGATTGGTTCTTAGGTTCTCAAAATATTTATGGTTACATTTGAACCCACCCCCTATCTCCTTGACCATAAACTAAAGCTTTTTAAAAGATTTGATGTTTCTAATTAGAATGAAGGTGTCACCTTCTTCATCCATCTCCTGATTTATTATAGAGTTATGTATACGATGATATAAGGAGTTCATGAGCCTTATACGAATTTTAACATAGCTTCATGTGTTTTTTACAGGATGGACCCTTCTTTGCCTAGTGATACTACTAGCCTAGATTATTGGATGAACTGGAAGTTCTTGCTTTGTTTAATATGGGTTTTGGCTCCCACAATTATGGCATTGTTCCTGATCTGGAAGTATGAAGGTCCAACCAATTCAAAAACTTACAAAGAGGCAAATCGGCTAGAAAAGGCTTGGTCTTTGTATGATTGTGAAGCATGGATGCCCTGTGTGAAGGAGATACACCCTGCTTGGTTACTAGCTTTCAGAATTATTGCATTTTGTTTGCTTTTAACCGCTTGCACCGCTGATGTTGCCATAGTTGGGACCGACTTATTTTACTATTATACTCAGTAAGTCGTTATCTTCTTTTTTTCAACCGGTACCTATATAGGCACTTTTGGTACGCAGGAGAAGACATGACAAAACAAAAACTTATTGTCCCATATTTTGTGGGCATGTTTGTTAGTGGCTTAATGGGACTTGCAACTTATTCGGTCAGCTATACATGACTGTTTGTAGTGGCTTATTGATATAGAAACTGGTTTATTCAGTAAGCTTCTAGAGGGAGCTTTATGTAGAAAGCCAAGCTTTTTCCGATCCTTATCCCTCAAAATTAAAGAACACACCCTTTCCATCTGTGAAAAAACCCTCCCAAACAAAAACCTTCCCAATCTATACAGACATATTAATCCCCACAGACGGCTTCATCCATACAGGACTTGATGGAAAACCAACCAAACAGCCCCTTAGACCGGGAGAGGACAAGACTGAGTAGGACAAAAATGCATATTTTTTTGCCCCAACAATATATATGGAACAAAAAACAGGGAGATGACAGAAAGTTGGTAAATTACTAAACTACCCATGTCAAATTAAAACCCTAAAACCTTGCATAGTTCTTTCACCCTCCTACCTCACTCTTGCCTGTCTAGTCGTGCCAAGTCCCCTCTGCGTACCAAACGCACCCATAAGCATTGGCGAAATCAGTAGTTGTTGAGTACTCTTCTGACATCCTCTTTTTGGTCTTCTGGATAGGTGGACCTTCATGCTGGTTATCTTCTATTTTGCGGTATGTCTTTTCCTTCTCCAAGTTCTTGTTTGTGTTAATCTTGCTATGCTTTCGATATTTATATCATCTCGACCGATTCATATTCAAAAGCGTCCACTTTTGCTTCAATTTACTTGAAGCTTATAGCCTTTGCATGAATTTTAACCAATTTGTTCTTACAAATGTCCTCAAGTTCTTTTGCAGTTTGGATCGGTGCTCTCAGCCTACGGATTATTTCAGCATCACAAGATGTTTACTGTTTCTAGCTTAGATTTAGATGCACAGCAAGCAGTTTATGTGCCTCTCAACAATGAAGATTTGGAGAATTCATCGAGTCAGCAGGGTGGGACTTGTTTCTTGCGAAGTTCTGCCTTTTGGGGCTATGTATTTCAAGTTCTTTTTCAGGTACATGAACCACCTAAAAGTGATGGGTTTCCTTAAAAAGAATTATTCTGTTTTTGTGATTCTTTTTTGGTCAATGACCATTCAACATTAAGGGCGTCTCCAACAGATTCTCCAAAATGGAGAAAATAGAAATTTTGGGGATTTTGAGCAAGTTTACTGATTCTTCAAAACCTCTCCAAACTGGAGAAAGTAGGAGAGAGAGTGTGAAATTCTCCAAAGTAGAACTCTCCGAAAATGATTACCATGAGAGAGAAATATATCTTTATCATGTTCCCACCAATAAGAAATCTTGAAATTTAATGTATGGAATATTTTAATAATATAATCAATGTTGTAATCTCCAAAATGGAGAATCCGTTGGAGTTGAATGTAATTTCTTTTTGGAGATTTTGAACTTTGATTCTCCATTTTGGAGAATCAGTTGGAGATGCTCCAAGTCCTTGGTTTATTTTGAGAACCTGGAAACCAACTGGTTTATGTATTACTCATGATGAATAACCCTAAATAATCATATAAATATTATTCATTGACTATCGTGCATTTTCATAGTTCATGATATCAAGCATTTTCATCATGTATTCATTATGAATAAGACATGAATAGTTGGTTCTCAGAATCTCAAAATATTTACGATTCTCATTTGAACCTGCCCTGACTTTAGTAATCCCATACTGAGAAATATACAAATATGCCAATGTGTAATCTAGTAGACCTGCGATTATTTTTTGGTGTTCAAGCATTCAGTCACTATTAGATCGAGGTTCTTATGTTCTTTATGATAATTTACACAGATGACGGCTGGGGCAGTGATGCTAACAGATTCTGTTTATTGGATTGTGATCGTCCCATTTCTTACCCTCATAGATTATCCAAAGAGTTTTGTGAGTACTTCCGCTCTCTTACCATCAATGATTTTGATTCTCATTTCGTTTGCTTCTTTGCTTCGTAAGTTTCGCAGCATTTTCGTTTTTGATTTCTCATATCTGTTTTTGAAAAAGCATAATGAGGAAAGAAGGACAGTGTTTTGGAACCAGTTTTCAGGATAAAAAAACCCAAATCAGTTTTCAAATTGTAAACGCCTAAAAGGTTATTTATTTGATTTTGATGTTATGTTTCAGAAAAACGGTTTACAATTACAGCTATGCGTTGAATAGTTGACCAAAATGTCAGCCACTGGCTAGCTTATCAGCTAGTTTGCCAAACATACCCTATGGCTATGAACCAATAAACCACAATTTTTTTCCTTTCTCTTTACCAGGTTCATTGGGTTTGGTTTTGGTTTGGTTTACAAGTGTCAAACCAAACATTATGTTTTTTCCTAGGACCCTAGGGTTATGTTCGGCAAACTAGTTTATAAGCTAGCTGATAAACTAGTCATGTTTGGTAAAAACTAGCTGATATGCTATATGACAATGTAAAATGACCTAAAAGGACATACTGAAAAATTAGTTGGAGAATAATTTGAAAAAAAAATCCCCCAAAGCTTATTGAAACGCTACTTGAAGTAGCTTCTAAAAAAAACTAGCTTATGGCTTAACCAAAAGGGACTTTTTCAATAAGCTCGAAAAATAAGTTAGCTTATAGTTGTCAAACATGGCCGAGAGCAACACAATGTATGGTAGATCTTGTTTTATGCATCTTGATTTTGTTACTATGCTTTCTTATTTGGTTTGAAACTTTTGTTATTCGTTCTTATGCCAGTTGACGGTTCTCGCACATTCACTTAATCTCGTTCTACTCCTTGGGGACACAGCCTTAAATAGCTTGGTAATTTTCTCTACCATTTTTTTTTGCTTTGTTTCTATGTTGAATTTGTTCTAAATAACGCTTTCTTTTCTCTTCTTCGGAAATTTGGAAATCTTTGGGAACCCTTCAGCGTTTCCCGTGGTTCAGAATCTCGTACTTTATCTTACTTACCGCCTTTTATGTGATCTTCGAGTGGGTTGTTCATGTCTGTGTCTCAACTTGGTATGTTATCTTTCTTCTTATCCTATGTGCATTTATGGGTTCTTTGGATAAATGATTTTAAACGAGTTTTCAGTTAGAAGCATTGGCCTTTTAAATTTTTTTAGCTCGATGACCATCTTACTTGCCCTTGATTAAAATAGTCTGCTCCCGTAAAAACTTAGAAATACACTAGAAGGTTATTTTGCAAAACGAGCTTATGGAGAAGGACGCTGAGCTAAATAGCCCATGTACTTCAACACAATGTTATCTTGGCTTATATTGCATTCTAATCTTTACAGGTGGCCATATCCGTTCCTAGACTTATCCACGGAATATGCTCCGTTATGGTATGTATTCTCGCTTGAACCCTTCCTTACCTATACACACACACACATATAGGTGGAGGTTCAAAGGAAAAGACTTTTGTTTCACGAAAAAGCGAAACACCCTTATAACATTACACGTGAGGAGACTGGGTGGTGTGTGGACGACGTGTCTTGCGACCTAGGTCGTGCCAAAGGTCGTCTATGTTTTTGATTTAGTATCTAATGTGATGATTATAGTATCACATCAAAATACCCTTGTCACATGTGATAATACACGTGATGGGGCCTAGTGGTCTACGGGCGACTTGGCCCGTAACTAAAGGTCGTCAACGTCTTTGATTTAGTATCAGATGTGTATCATATGTGATGGAATATAGTATCACATGTGATTGACTACAGTAAAACGAAAGTGTTTTCGTTTGAACCATTGAGGATATCAATTTGGGTACCTCAAATTCCATCCGCATTTCATCATTAATAAAGGGTATATATATGACATTTGAAACATAATCAAACATTTCTCTTAAACTATGCCTAAAAATTTTCATTGCAATTTTTCATAGCAAAAAGAATACATCTGTCTATGTGTTAATATAATTTCTCTAACTCTTTAAAATGCAACATGTAGGTACTTTTTTTTTAAGCATATAATATTATATACGGCAAATGCAACAAATAAACTCACACACCTTCCTCATCTTTGATATGCAGGTACTTGGTCGTCGCGCTATTGCATCTTCCATGCTACAGTATCTTTGCACTTGTTGTCGCGATCAAGTATTGCTTATTGACAAGATGGTTTCCCGAATCATATCGATTTTTGAGATAAACGTATTTATTTCGTGGATATTGCATTTGTTTAACAAGAACCCGATTGGTTACAAAATATGCTCATGCCCAACCAACACATAACGGCAAGGTTTTATTTGGATGGCCTTACCGTCGTTTTCGTGGTGTTCATGAGACTTCATTTGGTTCCGATATAATCTCGATTAAAAGAAAAGGTGATTTAGCATACGTAGTGAAATTACTTGTTCGGAAATTCGTTCATTTTGATTGTGTTGGTGTAAATGTACGAGATTTTATTTATTATATTTGACAATTTTCTGTTATGTTTTGATGGTCGACAACGAAAATATGATGTATTATATGTGCTTATCATTTTTATTGCATTTTTGTAAGATGCACCAAAAAGACAACATCAAGACATATTATGCAAATTGAAAGGAAAAATGATCCTATTGTAGGGTAATTCTAGAGATTGCACAAAAAAGGACCCAAATCCAAGCCTGGCCCACGCTAGCCCAAACTAAACCGAGCCAGACCTTTAAGAGCCTGATCCGGGTCAGGCTTTAAAGAGCCTTATCCGACCCTTATTCAATTCTAAAGCCTGACCTGAAAAAGTTCGGTTAAGCCCGATTGGACCCTTTATTCAATCCTAAAGTCTGACCTGAAAATGTCAGGTTAAACCCGACTTGAAAAAACCGATTGGCCCTTTATTTCCCAAAGCTCGACCTAAAAAAGTCTAGTTAAATCCAACATGAAAAAGCCGAATTGGGCCCTTTATTCAATCCCAAAGCCTAGTCTATACCTTTTTTTTCCTTGCTAAAAACGGGTTTGGAAGGTACGGGTTTTGTGCATCTCTAGTTACAGGTGATATTGGGGAATTGTGGTAGTCGTAAGTCAAGAGGGAGATATGGGGAATGGACGACGACTAAGTTGGTAAAATTACTAAAATACCTGCACTCAAGAGGCATTTAACAGAACATTTTGACGGTGAGAATCAAAGGACTAAATCCGTAAAGAATTGAAAAATACAGGGACTGCCAATGTAATAAACGAAACACATGGACTATATCCATAATTTTTAACAAACGATAAGGACCAAAAATATAGTTTACTATTCTCTGTATTTCCCCCCTTCTCCATGCTCAACATCACAAGGTTACGATAGGCAGTTGAGGTAATATTAATGGCGAAAACATGTTTACTGCAAAAGCTTTTATTGTGTCAGTATGATTCAGTTAGCAGAAAACTATCGACTGCTCACCTGGAAGCAAAAAAACGCAGTAATGGCAGTTCCCTTTCCTTCCGTCTGTTCAGTTTTCCACCTCCGTGGCATTTGCACGAAGGTATCATCACCGCCTCAGATCCGTCGCAAATCTCCTCCATTGAAGACTACGTCTCCTCTGTTTTCATGCCTGCGACCGGATTTGCAGGTCGCCGTTTCTCCTCAGACAGAGGTAGTCCTCAAATCTCGTCGAGAATTCTGTAAGTTGATTGATTCGTAAGAGGTCATTTTGTAAAACAGTTTTTCTTCCTATTTTCTTTCGTCTCCATGCTCGACATCAGAATGTTACGATAGGCAGTTGAGGTAACATTAATGGCTAGAATATTATTACTGCAAAAGCTTTTATTGTGTCCGTACGATTCAGTAGCATAAAGCCAGCGACCACTCACTTGGAAGCAGAAAAAGGCAGTAATGGCGGTTCCATTTCCTTTTCCTTGCATCTGTTCAGCATTTCACCGCCGTGGAATTTGTATAAAGATATCAATATCATCACCGCCTCAGATCCGTCGAAAATCTCCTCCATTGAAGACTACGACTCCTCTGTTTTCATGCTTTCGGTCGGATTTGCAGGTCGCCGTTTCTCCTCAGACGGAGGTAGTCTTGGGATCTGGTCGTCAATTTTGGAAGTTGTTTTCGTAACTGTGTGTGATTGTGTGTGTGTTTTCGGTTGCAGTTCATCGAGAAGTTGTTGGATTGTGAAGACTTGAGTGAAGAGGAAGCTGAAGAGTCGTTGGAGTTGTTGCTTGGAAATGGAGATGGTAATCAAGCTTTGATCAGTGCTTTCCTTGTGCTTCTTCGAGCCAAAGGAGAAACTTTTGAGGAGGTTGCTACTTTCGCTTATCTAAAAATTATTTCTAAAATGGAACAAAGCAGTAGTACTGAGAAAGTTTTTTCTTCATATACGGAGATGACCAAAAAATGATTATCTTGATTAACGTATTTTAACTTATTTTATTTAACTTATTTTTAAAACTTTCATTTTAGTATCTAAGATGTAAGGTTATAACATTTAAGTATTTAGGTAATCGGTTGAAACATTAACCGGTTATCTTACTGATGTGGCGAGAGATGTTATATCTAACTCAGTTTTATGTGCTCACATGGATTTTTTTAATCTAAAAATAGTCTTTTTTTTAATCTAAAAATAGTTTTTTTTTAATCTAAAATAAGTCTTCAACGGGATACCTAAATGTTTAAAACTTTACATCTTAGTACCAAAATGAAAGTTTAAAAGTATGTTATCCAAAATAAAAATCAAGTTAAAATACGTTACTTTTTCATGCAATTTGCTCTTTAATATTATAATCAATGAAAAAAGTAACGTATTTAACTTGATTTCTATTTTGGATAAGATACTTAATAAAGACTAGCAAATTGTCACTTCACACCAACTTTAAGGTAAGAACCAAGATTCTTTTACAAGGACTCCGTTAGGCTTCTTTATCTCTACAATGTTGATTTTTATAAGAAGTTAATTTTTTTGCTTGCAAGAACTTTGCGTTAGAGATGCTTTAGAATCCGAAAGATTGCTAACAGGATTGAAATCTAAGATTAGGCTAATAGTTCTAGATGGTCCAACCAAACTTGAACCAAGCGGTTTGGAATTTTCGATAAGGTTAGTTAAAGACCGGACCCATTATTCCAAAACCTCTGGTTTAGTTCGGTTCAACCTAATTTGTCGGTTTGAACTAACACCCCGACATTAGCATTACTCGATCCATACTTGCATTACAATGGAGAACTTCATTTGTGCTTGTAGATTGTAGGGTTAGCAAAAGCTATGATCAAATGCAGCCGGAAGGTGGAGGGTATAGAGGATGCGGTCGACATTGTAGGGACAGGCGGTGATGGGGCTAACACGGTTAATATATCGACAGGAGCTGCTCTACTTGCTGCTGCCTGTGGTGCTAGAGTTGCAAAGGTAAAAAAACTGTACATTTAACCAACCCGGCAACCATATGCTTCGACCCGCATTGAATGTTGGGTCATTCGTTGAAACCTGAGTAAGGAGTAGATCTTTTTGGAGTTTTTCTATCATATTAGGCACGGCTTTGTATGAGGCTCGTACTGCAGAGCAAGCTAAGTGATCCAACAAGACCAAGGAACTGAACTCGATGAGGGAGCTATCCTCTCCTTGTCATGCTTAGTTATTCTGCATTGCTCCTTCTGATCTTGTTTTCTTGGCTCTAAAATCAATAGTTGGTATTCCTTTCTTAAACAATTTGCATTTATACCGTCGACAAATAATTCTTTAGAAAAGGTATGCCCGATTGATCTCGACCCTTCGGAACATCCCACCATACTGGACCTATGACCATCATAGAAAAAATAAATTACGCTTATCAAGGGAAGGTAAGTGGTGCCTAGAGTTGAAATTCAGACCCCCATTCACATTCTGCAAAAGAGTGCATCTTGTATGAAGGTTATAATGTTTATTTGCCGTAAATATTCACACACACTCAAAGCTGGAGGTGCTCAAAAACCCAATCAACCTAATCCAACACGAAATAACTTAACCTGAAACAATCCAATGTCTAATCAAGTTATAAAATCTTCAAACTGTAGGTATGAGGTTGATATTGACTTACTTCTATTTGAACCCGATATTCTTATATTTCTTGAATTTAATATAATTGTTGACTCTCTATTAATATGTACATAGGTCATTCACATCATCACGTACCCTTTTCATATAAATTCATTTATCAATTTATTACTCTATATAACTCATTTGTATATATATTCAGTAATTATGAACACAAACACACACACACACACATATATATATATATATAAATTATGAACACAAACACACACACACACACACACACATATATATATATATATGCAAATTGAGAAAATTAATTGAATGTAATATATTTAAGTAGTATGGATAAGTTGTACCAAATGGTTAATGATGAAAAAAATATTATGAGTAAACTCGAGAGAACAACATATTCAAGGTTAGAAGAATATTTTAAATGTCGTTCAACCCTACCCATCCGAGAGGTTTGGTATCGAATGACCATCTTTTTTTAAAGTACTCAGACTCATCATATTTGGTAATTGGTAATGGTAAGCTGGATATGACCCTTTATCTGGGAACTTATACCATTGAATGATCAGAACAAGTAATTTTCCGTGCAGCAAGGAAATCGATCCAGTTCTTCTGCTTGTGGAAGCGCCGATGTGTTGGAAGCCCTTGGAGTGAACATAAATTTGGAACCTGAGGTTAGTATGTGCATACACCCCTCTCCTCCAGAACCAGAAGACGTACATTTGACTTTTTGAGTCAACGGTGGTACACTAAAACTGGGTTTGTTGTGGGGTAGGGAGTGAAGAGATGTTTGGAAGAAGTGGGCATCGGTTTTATGATGTCTCCTAACTATCATCCGGCCATGAAGATTGTTGCACCTGTCCGAAAGAAGCTAGGAGTGAAGACGGTTTTCAACATATTGGGGCCTATGCTCAATCCTGCTCGGGTTTCCTCTGCAGTCGTAGGGGTGTATAAGACATTGTAACTTCTTCTTACGTGTTACCAATTTCTTTTGTAAAGCTCACACACTCCTCACCCTCACCTTTTGTAAGGGAACCCTGACCTCTGCGGAGGTTGGGCTCTACCAGTAACCCAGATACTGTTGGATTTTACCAACTTTATGACGATGATGTTCATTGTTTCACTCTTGGTGGTAGGTTACGAAAATGGCAAAAGCTTTGCAAAGATATGGCATGAGAAGAGCTTTGGTTGTTCATTCCGAGGGTTTAGATGAGATGAGTCCGCTCGGTACAACAAAGTCATCGTGTTTAGTGATTGGTCTATCTCTATTAATAAAGTTTATCTTAAATCTCCAGACTTCTTTCATGATCGATCACACCTGACAGGTCCTGGAGTAGCTTTCGACGTCACACCAGAGAAGATCAAGAAGTTCCATTTCGATCCATGTAAGAACTCTCTTTTTGGTACGTTTTGCTCTCCTAATCCCTATGGAACATGATCTTTTGCACCAAAAGGATCATTGACCAACATAATGTTGATCTCAACTTTCTTGGAGGTCAAAGGTTCAAGCCTCACAACATATAAGGAGTGTGTGAGTTTTGCCGTAAATAAATATTATATATTTCCGAACATGATCCTTTGCAGTGGATTTTGGGATTCCTCGATGCACGGTTGAGGACCTACAAGGCGGGAACCCAAAATACAATGCGCAGGTGCTAAGATGTGTGTTGTCGGGTGAGAGAGGACCCATTGCAGATGCATTTGTAAGTCTTCTCATTCTAGTGGTCACTTGTATGGCAACGGTATAATAGTTAAGGGTTTTGTTTACCGACACAGATTGGATAAGCAATAATCGGGTAAGAGTGCCGTCTGAGTTGGCGCTTACTAGTTCACTTACCTTACCAGGTGAGCATAACAAAGTACCGAGAATCTTACCCAGTAAGAGGCATGGCAACAACCGAGGTTCTTACCCGGTATGTAAGGGAGAAGACTACTAGCCAGGGGCCGTTTACCAAAACTCTTACCCGATTAGCGTTTACTTGTAAAAATCAACAATCTAACTTACTTTACCGGGTAAGATTGTAGTCCATCAAAATGGTATTGTATGCGACAATTTACCCGGTAAGTGCTTATTGAGTAAGAGTCGTCACCCTCACTTACCGGGTAAGACTCTCCATACTTATCATCGCTCTTATCGGGTAAGATTCTCGGCCCTGCCATATTCATCCGGTAACGTAAATGACCGGGTAAGCCTTTAGTAAATGACCCCTAACCCGGTTAGCGCTTACCGTATAAGTGCCTCTTACAGGTAGTAAACAACCCCTAAGTGTTCTAAATATGCAACTAAAACAAATGAAAACAGGTTCTAAATGCAGCAGCAGCACTTACAGTGAGCGGGCATGTTGGCACCTTGGCTGAAGCAGTGGCGCTTGCTCGTGAAACACATCAATCCGGGAAGGCTCTTAATACACTAGACCGTTGGGTCGCTGTCTCAAATTTAAGCACAAACTATGATTCTTTTTCTGTCTAGCATTGCCAATGGTTTCATAACTTTGCAGATGGTTGAAGAGCTAGGGACTGTGCATTATTGACTTAAGTAGAAGGTCAATGTCAAAACCCGGTAGAAAATCGGCCTTTTGTTTGTCGATTCAATAAAAATGTTCGGTCTACGATGGCTAAATTCTTAACTATTTTTCCAAAATTCAGCAAAACATAATTTTGGGCTGTTTGGTTGATTTTCCATTAAGTCATGTACGGATAAAATTGTATGGATTAATTTATTTGTATTGATATGGGACGGTTTAACGTGTTTTTTAATTGGGAGGGGATGATTTGGAAAAAACTTGGCTTTCTAACTTAATAAGTCACTTTCTATATCATTAAGCCACTATCAAACCATCATGTATAGCTGACCGAATAAGCTAGGAGTCCCCATTAAGCTGTTAACAAACAGGCCCTTTTATGTGCACCCCTTTGGCATTCATTCAAAATTTTGTAAGCTTGTTGGCCATTGGAGTCCCACATCAGCTAGACTTAAACCGTTTCTTCTTACTTAATATATTATATATGTTGGAACCTACTCTCATCAAGTGCTCTTTTGGAAAGTAATTTAGGGTTCCACATATTTTCACATGATATCATAAGCCAAAGTCTATCACTTACCTGAACCAAACAGACCTCCATGAGAAATCATGGGTTGCAAATGTAACCAAAGATAATATATATATATAGGTGGAGGTTCAAACGAGAACCCCTGTGATTTACAAGAATGCGAGAACAACCCAATAACCTCAAACTTTTTTAATTAATAAATTAACTTATATTATATATAAATAATTTAATAAGGGCAGTAATGTAATTAAGTAATTTTTATAATTTTTATTTTATTTCAATTTCATAATTATCCCTTTTGTTGACCACATCTCCACGTTTTCCTCTGGTTAGTTTTCTTATCTAGCCTTCTTCTCCAGATCGTTCATCCTTCTTCTCCACATCATTCATGATAGTCGACTTTCTTAATACCTTTTCTTCATATCGTTAGTATCCATATTTTTGTCGATCTAGAATGGACGACTTGAAACCCATATCACATGATTATCACACCATATCACACAAAATCGTTTTCGTTGTGATAAATGTGTGATTGTCTGATCCTAACTTATCGAAACCATCCGAAATCATTGTGATAATGTCTAACCTAACTCATTGAAACCATGATCAAGTCGAGTGATATTGATATCACATGATTATCACACCCATATCACACAAAATCGTTTTCGTTTTGATAAATGTGTGATT